TTTTTAAACTATCTAGATCCTTCCTGAACTTCTAGTGACAGAAATCTCATGAACTCTTTCCATTAAGTATCTGGTTTTGTCTCAGTCCTAGAACTGTGGCAATTTGAGCCCCTGTAAACTGTCATGCCTAGAAAATGCTACAAGTGTCTTCTGACTAAACATCATGAATCAAACATACATGTTACCACTGCTGCCTCCTAAAACCCCACTAGGCTGTCAATGAGGTATAAAAGAAGACATATTTTTATAAGATCAAAGAGAACAGGGGAAGAGACAAACCCATTATTGAAAACTGGAAAGCTGCAGGATAGAAGACACCAGCCATGGGGAGGATGGGGAGAGCAGCAGGGACAGGCAGCTGTTTTCACCACTGAACCAGGAATTGGACACACCAGATACTTCTGAAAACAAATGTGCAGGAGGGGCTCAAAACAGGGAACTTTTTGGAAAAATTTGTGTAAGAAATAGCCTGCGTATCTTTTCTGTAGCATGAGGCAGACAAGCAGCTGCTCTTTCCCTCCCCTAACAGAGGCTTGATGGTTACTCCCTGGAGAGATTAAATCAGATTAAACTCTCCTCTTGGGTCCATTGAGGCAGGGGAACCGTGCTGAGGACAGGGTGAGCAGCTGAGTGAATTCTGAATGGTGAGACCCACAGCCGAGTTCCCAGAGGGTTGGCAGCCGGGCTTAATTCCAATTGCACCCTGCCTCTCCCCACAAATTAAGGATTCAATGACTCTTCTAGGAGGAAACTGACAAGCCCAGGAGAGAGGACTACAGAGTCAATATTTCAGATACTAATGAAATAGACCAAAGGGATCACCTTAAACCGAAGTCTGCTTGTTTATATGCCTCACCCTTACAAACAAAGCTTCCAATTAGATAAAAGTCAGCAACCAAAGATCACCAGATTCAGAGAATGCCTGAAATGTGAAAGTAAGTGATGAAAATAAATGGGTTGGGGATGGGGGAGACAGAGGCAAGAAGGAGTAGAATGAAGTGGTTCTGCCGTACTCCACTCAGCTGTGATGCCGGCCTTACAAGGGTTTGCTTTACCTTGTGGGGCCAGAGAGATTTCATCTTGCTCTGGCCAGGCCCGTCCTGCTCATGGTGAACCAGTGAGTCCCAACAGGAGCTGTCCACATAGGCCGCCTGCCGGACGCTGAAGTTACTGGGAGAGAAGCAGCTGATTGGAGACCCTGCAACAGGAATACAACTTTGAGGCCGTTGGAGTGGAGCAGTGGGGAGTCAGGGGCAATCATGTAACTCTTTCCCAGTTTCTGCTTCTGGCAGAGACTGTCTTCTTCCCACACCTTAGTTTTCTGGGTTGAGCACTGCTATGTCACCGTAGGACAGGGCACTCCTGGACACATCTCACTATATGGCCTGGGCCTGCCAGTGCTGACTCATCCTTTTGGGTCTGGCAGTTCTTTGCTCTCAGTGCACCCCCTGGCCTCCTTGTGCTCCTATAGTCTGGTACCAGAAGGCTTGCAGTTTGATGGTGATGTCTCTTTCCTTAAATAACTGACATCCTTTAGGCTCTAAAATGTTGAGGATTGATTGCCTGGGCTTCTGAGCCTAAATGAAGAGAAAGAGTGGGCAAATTATGCCGGAAGGAATGTGGGCTTGGAGGAGAGTTCCTGCCTTTTGTTTTCACGTCATTCTCCAGAAAGAGGCAGAAGTGGGAGCCATTTCTTCTCCCCTGGTGTGGATGAATGAAGAGGCAGTGGGAGGCTGGCATACCTTTTTGGGAACTGTAGTAAGCATTGCCAGAAAGGAAAGCCAGAAGTCTCAGTTCTCAGGAAGTCCACATTCTCTTTAAAAAAGGTAGTTGTTGGGCCGGGCGCGGTGGCTCAAGCCTGTAATCCCAGCACTTTGGGAGGCCGAGGCGGGTGGATCACGAGGTCAAGAGATCGAGACCATCCTGGTCAACATGGTGA